AATGAGACACGCGATAAGCAACCGAGACACGATGAGAATGAGCGATGGTGGTGTGCTGTGCTTCTCTCTGATGCCGCTCTGTACTCCTCGATCACTCACTCATACATAAGCATGCGTATACAGGTGACTGCTTCACTCACTAAGGGAGGGTCGACCCACCTGCTTGCCGGGTCGACCCACCTGCTTGCCGGGCCGGCAAGCAGGTGGGTCGACCCTCCCTTAGTGAGTGAAGCAGTCACCTGTATACGCATGTTTATGTATGAGTGAGTGATCGAGGAGTACAGAGCGGCATCAGAGAGAAGCACAGCACACCACCATCGCTCATTCTCATCGTGTCTCGGTTGCTTATCGCGTGTCTCATTCATGTGACAAAGCAATCACCACATAAAGCAATCATTTCTGTCAAGCAATCAGCCCATTGGTGACTGTGATCACTCTGTTCACAAGCAAAATGAACCGCATAAGCCAATCAACTCACAAACAGACTCAAATCAGCCATTTGGGCCGACCACTCATGGCTCAAAATGACTGGAAGACGATGAAGCACCGCTCTGTGGAAGAGCGGACCGATGAAAGAGTGACTCCATGGAGAAATAAAGGCATTTTGATTGTCAGAAGATGACTCAACCTCGGCAAGCGATTTGCGACCAAAAAGGCGAGTTTGGTTTGAAACGCTCTCACGCGCCTTTTTGGTCGCAAATCGCTTGCCGAGGTTGAGTCACGCTCTCACGCGAGGCAGCAAAGGCCCATTGGTGACTCACAGGATGGTCCGCTGAGTCATCTGAGGCATCTGATGATATTCATCCAGCCCACACCTTTGTGCGGGGCTGATGTCTCCCTCCCCTGCCTTTCGCTCCCCTCCCCTTACACCCAATGGCTCACCCACCCAACCATCCATCCATCCACCCATCGCGCGAGCGACGCGATTTGATGATCATTTCGACTGATGCATTCACGCTGCAGGCGGCGGGGCGGCATGATTTATGTGATTTGCTTGCTGTGATGCCTGCTGTTCATGCCTTTTGTGCCGTCATGGGCCCACTGGACATCATGTTGATGACTCCTATTCCATGCAAACCAGCTTGTGGAGATCAACGGTGAATCAGACTCAGGAGACACTCAGACTCACTGCGAAGGGCCTCGCGGTCACGTCGACAGGCGGATTGAATGAGTGAGTGAATGGCTGGTCTTTCGTCGTTTCAGAGTGGTTTTGAGCGAGAAAACGGCTCCAGTGAGTCATTCACGGCGAGAAACCCCGCAGAAAACAAGGAGAAGATAAACCACTCACTCGCTTGCGCGTGCAAACCAACCAATCAGCCCTGTACTGACCGCATTCATGTGTTGCGGGAATGCATCTTCACGCGTCGTTCGATGAGTTCTATCACATAGCACAAAAGTCCGTTTCACGCTTTTCACGCTGAGAAAAAGTCCGTTTGCGAAGAAAGCGAATTAATCACTGCATCAGTACAGACAACCCTCCTCGGTTGCTTCGCTTGGGAGACGGCCGTGATCCTGGCCTGACTGGCCACGAGGTGGCCGGCCATGGTTTTGACGAAAAGGAAAGCCATTAGCGCTTGCGTGTAATCACAGCGTAGCGAAATGTATCATGCATTGACACAATTGTGCTGATTTAGGTTGGACGGCAACGTCAACTTTCGGTGGCTGGTTCTCATATTTGACGGAACGCAGAGCGATAACCGCTTGCGTAAAGACAGAGCACACAAAGGAACACTCACACAGAGGCTTGCCTATCAAACGCACCAGAATCCCGAGAGAAAACAGCCAAGAACCGATTTTCCGGGTTTTTTGCCGCCGTTTTTCGCGCCAACGCGTGAACGGATTTGAAGCTCGAAGCAAACTCGTTCCTCGCAGTGACCCCCTCCACACATATCCGAAGACAGATGTTGAAATTCGAGACCCCGGCGGTAGGTGGGCCGGGGGATGCACACGACAGCTCTAGTCCTTTTTCACCTGAAGTCTGAATGAATGAAATATTTCATCGTGCTCCAAATTTGCGTAGTCTTGGCGGATTAATTAGTAAGGTCGGCTGGAGTGTGTCTCTGCTTTTCTGGTTTTCCTGCCGTCCCCCCGCGCTCTTGAGCCGTCCAGGTATCAAGCGCTGTTGCTGGTCACAGATGCCACAGAGAACGCCGCGCCATTGTTGGCGGTGCAGCGGCCAAGGGATCCTGTAGCCCTCGTTTTTCACAGTTCTGAAAGGAAAAAGCAGATCGATGAGTCCTTTTCTCAGACGAAAGAATAAAGGGCCTGATGCTTTAGGTCCGGTTGCCAAGCTCGCGTCGTGAAACTATTATGAGTGAGGATTTCCTCATCCGGATGAGGAAGTCCTCATCGAATGAGGACTTCCTCATCGAAAGGGCCCATTCCTGCCTGATTTGCTTCATCTGGTCATCCATTTTCCGACCCATCCGCATCCATCTTTCGTCTTCGTCGATTTCAAGCATCTGAGCCTTCCGTGCCCCCCAGAGGTACTTGTGCTCTCAACCGTCGTCAGCAAGCCCACTGCACGGAGCGGCGTCTCCGTGTCTCTCCATCCAACACCTCACCCCACCGTGATCATCCCAGCCGGCCAGAAGGGGCCGAAGACCGCAGGCAAGGGCGCCATGATGAGCGACTAGACACCCACGGGACGGCTCTCCTTCCCTTCACCTGTCTGAGGGCTTGCCCATCTGACAGGGAGTCTGCCCATGTGCTAGTCGAAACTGCCGGAGTCTGCCAGGGATGCCACCAACGAGCCAAGCCCGACGCCGGGCGAAGTGCTCAACCACGGAGGATATGGAGGGTATCAGGGGTATATATGTCGTACGCTGACGGTCATGCGAGAGAGAGTGAGAGGGAGAGACTATGAGAGTCTGTGAGAGCGAGGGCTCGGGGAGGAGCGAGAGAGTCAGGGGCTGCTGTCGGAGATGCTGCTGCTGACGGAAACGGATGGTTACTGGAGCTGACCACTCACTTTTCTAAGGTCTGTTGACGGATGCACATAAGGATATAAGCGTGCAAACGATGGACGGATGGCAAAGCGTGGTTCATGGAAGTGACGACCCATGTGAGGCACCGTGGCGTGAGATGCCGCAGCCACATGGCGATTTTGATGATGCCCGGGTGACAGACCTGATCAAGGCTTTCAATGCGTGTGGACGAAGAGTCACACGAAAGGGGCGATAGAGAAAAGGTCACGGAGCAACAGAGGTGGAAATCCTGTGGAGGAGGAGGGGCCGCTCTTGACGAGAAGACACATTATATGAAGACTCTTGCATGTTCGTATGGACGAGACGACATTGAACAGACCGTGAAACAGCTTACATGCCCGCAAGAGTGCGCATGCACTCTATCTCGGGAAAGCGATGGAAGTCCCGCACGGAAACCAGCCATCGTTGGTGAAGGTAAAGGTGGCCAAGGTGACGGCCACCGACGTCTCTCACTATCTGACGCCGATCCCTTCCACCATGTCGCAGCTGATCATCGATTCCTTAGGGGAGTTTGGGGGACTTCTGCATCGCGACAGGGGTCGTGTCGCTTCACGCGTGGGATGTTCCCAACGCTTAGTGCTGGATCCTGCATACTGTGCAATTGCAGGCGGAGGTGAATGCAGCCTAGCTCGACATGCCTCGTCCCTGTGACGCTCTGGCGATGAGCTGGCAAGGCCGATTGAGAATCAGTGTATCAATGAAGAGAGTCGCGGGATGGCGAAGCTATAGACGGAAACTGAACGGCCCAGCGGAAAAATCTGGGAAAAATGGGGCCCCTACACGCCCCTACACGGCCATTTGCCTCTTGGAACCGGACGGGCGGAGGGCTACAGATCCGTAGGAGCTTACTTACTCTGACAGCGACTTGGATCATGTGAATGTGAAGTGTATGTGCACGTAAGCGAAAGCTGTGTCTTGTGGGGCCTTGCTGCATCCTTCCACATCGGTCTGTTCGGAAAAAGACAGATTCTGCACAAGGTACAAGAGTGACAAACTGGCGAGACAGGTGACCGCCACCGTTTGTGCCCTGGTTGGGCATGGTTGGACAGTCCCTCCGCCTTTCATCTCTCTCCATCGCCTTTCACATAGCCGAGTTCGGCAGTGAACAGAGGGGAGGTAGAGGTATATGCATGATAGAAACGAACAGAGCGGTGTGGAAAGTTGTGCGGACGCTGCACGTGTCTCCGAAGCCACGCGATGTGTTGGCCGTCAAACGAGTCGGACGAAGAATAGCAAGCTCAAGACAGCATCACAAACACCCCGGCTTTGTGGTCTTTCATCTCCGCCCTTGTGCAAGGTGACTTGTGCTGATGGAGACAAGGATTCGTTTCTTGTCCGATGAAAATGTCGGTTGCATTTGTTTTCGGCGCTTGAAGTTTCAAGTTGGAGCATCCCTTTGTTAAGTGGAGCTTCCCTTTGTCTCGAACGGCCGAAGCTAGCTTGAGGCCTTGGTGTTTTTATCAGAATGAATCTCCCGTGTGCGAAAAAATACCTGGGGTAGACGGATGTCGTCTGAAAGGGAGGCGAACCCAATGGAGCCGGATTTTCCTTGCCTGAGCCTTGCTGAGGATACCTTGCTGAGGATACGGATGTCTCGGGTCTTGTCTCGGGTCTCTCCCTAGGAGGATTCCGCCGATGGGAATAGACGCCTCGCACAAGGCAAGGATCGTTTTGGTAGGGGGAGCGTTTCCGAGCTGCCTGCCTGGTCTGATGTCGCAATGAGCGATCTGCTGGAGAATGCACGGTTGGCGGCCTTGTAGTTCACGGCTGCCCGCGATTTTGTTCGTGTCGCAACTGACGCTGCCTGGATGTCATTTCTCGGCCGATGTCTGTTCATTCATGGATGTTCTTATCAATTCACGTGCCACACACTCGCCGACCCATCCATTGACCCTTCCCTCATGGCGTACAGTCCGGCGGTCGTTTCTTTGTTGATATGTCTCACATATTCGGGAACGGATTTCGAAGCTGAGGCAGCGCAGCCTTGCAAAGGCCCTCCCTGTTGCTTCATCAAAGCGTCGGCTTTCCGTCAAACATCCACTTTCTCTCCTTGTTGGGCCTTTTTTTTTCGTGAAGTGCATAGGCTTTCACACAAGTAAGCAGAGCATCTTTCTCCCTCTCTGTAAACCTCAATCATCGCAACAAGCCGTGTCTCAGAGTGTCTCAGACGGCTCTGTAGTTAGTCACACCATGTGTGTTACTGACAAAACTGAAATCGTGGTACGGTAGAAGACACCTGGCACTAAACGACGACACACAAAGAAAAGCTCTCAGGCACAGAACGCTGTGCACCCAGCGTTTTTCACACGGCTCTGGCCGGGGGTGGCACTCAAACCGAGGCCGAGCGGAAGCACATGCATGGTCCAAAAGAGCAGAGCGGCATGAAGTAACCCCTGACGGTGATCCACACGCTTCAAAACCACAGAGCTGGGGGAAGAAGAAAGTGAATTCATCCCGATTCAGGCAGCCTAACAGAGTGGTGTGCTGCCGATGACAAACAGCTGATGGAACACCTGCTCGAATTGAAGGCTCAATTTTGAAGCGATAAGGATATATATAGCCGATGGCCAACAAGAAGGCAGTACCGTCTTGACGAGATCTACATGAAAGACCGGCAACTGAGCCCCTCGAGGTGGTGCGGCTGCTGGACGCCGGCATGCAGTGTACCCCGCGGGCTCTCGAACTCCTCCACGTGAGACCACCGACGAGCAGCCAATGGCGGCCGTGCCACCCACGCCCAGTGTTAAAGGGGCCGTTTGATGGGATTCACGCTATAGAGATAGCATTTTGTCGATGCTCTGGAGACACTTTCTGATGAAAAGACACTCACGATTTCAATCGACAAGCACAAAGACAGACAAGCACAAACACACAGACACACGTACGAAGTCTCACACACGTAGACCAGTGACCATGGATTGGTTTGCATGTGGCTTGGGTCGACACAACTGTGTAAACTTTCGGTGACGGTTCTCCTTTTGACAGGGCGGAGAGCGATGGCTGCTTGCAGTGTGAATTCAGCACAGCGAGATGTATCATGCATTGACACAATCGTGCTGATTTAGGTCCACCAGCTGTGCCAACTTTCGGTGGCTGGTTCTCTTTCTGAAGACGGCGCAGGGCAATGACCGCTGGCGTGCAGACACAGCATGACGAGATGTATCAGACATACACGCTTTTGCATCGAATGCATCACAGTCCCGAGAGAAATCAGCAGAAAACCCCAAATTTCGTGTAACCGACACCAGTTTTCGGCACCTTTTGCGCGAGCAACAGGGCGCAATTGCAATTGGAAGCAAATTCGTTCCTCGCAGTGTCCGTGCGGATATATTTCATCAACCAGATCTTAAAGAGGGGGCCTAGAAAAAAAGTTGGTTTCATCCTATACAACTTTTGCGTGATAACCACCCTCCACCTCAGCTTTCAGCTTAGAGCAAGATCCGTGAAACTGATCTGAGCTGTCGTGCAAGACCCCCTAGAGAAAAAGTTGGTTTGTCGTGGCCGCAAAAAAATGAAACTGCGAGCTGATAACCACCCTCCAGCTCAGCTTTCAGCCTAGAGCAAGATCCATGAAACTGATCTGAGCTGTCGTGTGCATAATTCAGACTACATTCATGCATGTCGCACAGAGACATCAATCTACAGGTCGCCCTCCGACTCAATCCGGGTGTACACCCCACTGTGTGGGATGGATGAAGGATGGTGTAGAGTCTCTGGTCATGGCTGGTTTGCAGTAATCGAATAGCAGCGACACTCTGTTTAGTTACTGTCTCCCTCTAGTGGTCTGCCTGTTGATGGACCCTTGGTGCCAATGCACTTCCAGTCAATGTCCTCCTCTCTCAGTCGTCACTTCCACTTCCTACTCAACTGCACAGAGACAATTACTTGGATGGACGCGCAGCGCACGAACACACGGGCAGACGGATGGATGCACACGCCACATACATGCCCAACACTGAGATACACACATGTAGACATCCACATAGATGGACGCACAGCACACATGTATGGATGGATGCATGGATACATGCGTAGCAAACAGATACCGACGTGGATGGATGGGCATCTTGGAAAGGTGATATTGATTCAGTGATGCTGAGCTGCGTCTTCGATGAATCCCAACGAGTATTTGACATCTGTCTAGTCTCGTGGTCTCAGAAATCATCACACGTTATCACGAACCTATCACTCACCATCACTCACCCACAAGGAAAGCGACCGCGGTCGTCACGCAGGCAGCCACAGGAGTGGAGCGACCAAGGCATCTGTCGGCCTGTAGGATCAGGGGCAAATTACGGGTGTTATCGCTATCTCTTTTCATTTATATACATGGGCCAACCAACCTACCGCTGGCAGGAGAGCGAGCATCGATAGGCAGCGAGCCCATGGGACACATACACAGACGCATACTAGCTGTTGGCCTTTGTAGTGTCGTGTGCACGTGTATTTGGTTGTGATTGACCCCTCAGGAAGCACGTATACCACGTACACACGTGTGGCAATGACCAGCACGTGTGGCAATGGCCAGTAGGAGCATGTTGCTTGTCACGGGGGTCCGCACGTGTGCACAGAGCTCAAGACACACCCTCTAAGGTGATCCGCACCTGCATTGATACATTGCATAAAAAAGACACGCGGAAACAGACAGGAACACATACGAGGGATTTCGATTGGACGTTGTGAGCGATTCCTGTATGGGCGGGCTTGCTGACACCCCGGCCTTCTTGATACTCTGAAATGCACTCCCGTCTACCGCACGGGTGTGGATTCACCCATCCATCCACCCACAGACGTCCATAGAGGATAAGAGAGAATGAATGTTCCTCGAGTCGAGTGATAGCAACACTGACATGTACAAGTTGAACTCGTCCTCAATGTCGTCGGTATCCTCTGCATTCTCTGGCATCGGGCAAGGATCGGGCGCCATCTTATGCCCCACTGCATGGCGACGTGGGGCATGGCGCCGCGTTGCTCGAAGCGATGGACAAGCTGGAAACATCAGCATATATTGCATAGCATAGCTGTGAACGCACATGTGTTGTTTCCCTTTTTCCATTCGGCAGCTGTGAGCGTGCATGTGCTGAGAGCTGATCATTGATTCAAACACTCATCCCGTGTCTGCCAATAGGGTTTGCATCACACACAGTGTCACACACACGCACACGGCCGCACACAGAAGCCAGAGACGAGCGCCAGCGGAGTGAGGAAGGAAGTGAAGGGAAGGAAGGGAAGGGGGGGAAGGGGGAAGGTTTACACCGCTGCGCCAGCACATGCGCCTGCAGGTACTCTTTCCTTCTCGACCACACGCAGGCTGTAGTGCCAAGCAACTAGACGCATACACATGAGAAGGCTGATTTCCAACCATATGGGGCCATTCAGTACACTTCCTGCTCCATGACAGCTACGCATTCACATCCGTCGATTCTGCGCCCGCTCCAAGACCACAATGTATCTGCGGAAAGAGCACACATATTCATTTGCCTGTCCACTCGGCTAGTGTGACCTCCATGCGATCAGCTGGACGACATAGGCTATACACGCTGGGCCGATAGTCCCCGAGAGTGTGACAGCAGCCAGCATCTGTGGGTCCGTCATTGTAGTCGGTGAGCGTACTACCAACCCAGATAGCGCAGGGCTCCTGACACGCACACGCAGATGCATTCTTCCTTGACAGCGCCGTCACCCACTCACCAGCTGCAGATTTCACGCGGGAAAAAGGACTGCACTGTCCCCCCGCCATTGAACGGCAGCTGATACGAATTGTCGTCCGCGAAAGCTATAACACAGGTGCTCAAGGCAGAGAGGTAGGGGCTCACAGCCTCACACACACCTGAATTCGACCACCTACGGTTTGCTGTCTGTCTGTACGTACATGTTATGCGCTGCGTTATGCCTACCCCCAATCGCAAGGGTTACTGACCCCCATACAACCACCCGCCAACGGGATTTGACCAGTTGTATTTTCAACACCTGCATAGCCACAGACCCTAGTGTATGTTTTGTCTGCTTTCGTGCACCTTACGCCGGTGGCGCTCATTTTGAGAGCCTCCAACAACAGGGTGCCAACCACGACCATCAGGCCACAAACATAGCTCGCCCCGTCTGGCACATTTACACACCATGCACACACATCTGTGCACATGTTCGCATGTGTGGACTACCTCTGGTGGCTGCAAGATGCATGCCTAGTGCCCTGAGTACGGCCGGAGGCGGCACGAGCAATGCCAGACCGGTCAACGGCCACAGGGACTTTTGGCGCATGCGGGCAACGAAACCGAAGACTGAGAAAGCTACAAGGGCTGTCAGAATGCCAGTCACACCTAAAACTACGCCGACTGTCAATGCACCCTGCCCACCTGCTCATACGGATGCAAATACTCACAAGTTTACCGACGACATTCTATGTTCTCCCTCACCGGTGCCACCCATCATACCCAGCCGGCATAGAGAGTGCACCGTGATTGTGGTGTCATGTGCGCTCTCTGCTCTCTTGGCGGCTCGGTCAGCCGTGGTGTCCTCGGGTATGGGTATGGAAGTCGCCAGCATCAGCAGCCAAGCGAGCCATAACACGGACGGAAAAGCTGCCAGCGAGCTGAGTGGAAGAGGGTGTAGAATGGTGTGCATGCTGTCTGCGTAAGCGGACATTTCTGCTTTTGTTTTCCGTACCTGATCCAGTCGCCTACTGCGATGATCCAATAGCATGTCGCTGGAGAGAGCTCGCCTTTGCTGGCTGTGAAACATCAGCGGCGGGCTCCGAGAGATGATTGCAGACTGCTATGGAATCAAACTTCTCCTGTCACTCATATGTGATACCTTTATGCCCGGATGTGTCCTGGTTAGATCATCCGATATTGATAATCTAGATCAGCACAAGTCGACTCAAGTACGGGAACTCGAGAGCGATTGAATGAACGAAGTCAGGCGTGTGGGTCCGTTATGCAGTGCCGGTCATGCAACGAGCTCAACCGATGGGCCCTGTGAGCGTTGACAAGGCAGGGAAGCGCCGCTGCCAAGCTCGCAGACCACCGGCAAAAGCAAACAACACGCCTGAAAACATTGCATGCACCCACAGCCAGCCAGCCAGCCAGCCAGCCACGGACGGACAGACAGACAGACAGACAGTATGTATGTGTGTGTGTGTGTCGGGACGGTAGTGTCTTGTTCGCGTACCCACATGGGAGTGTTGTGGAGAGCACCCAATGAAAAGAGCGACACGACAGAGGGGCGCACAAAACAACCTGCCAACACAACGCCCACACACATGCCAGCCAACCAGTCAGTGTGTGTGTGCGCAGATGTCCATAACTGTCTCAACGCGCACCACAGAGTGTGTGCAGAGCACCCAACGACGAAAAGCAGTCAGATGGGAGAGTGCGAAAAAGCAACTGCTACACCATGTCCATCCTTTCCGTGCTTCATCCCTTCCCGTGCACCACACGCATGCATACAATAGAGGCAGACCGACAGGTAGGCCCATAAGGGTGTTGTACAGCTGCGAGAGGGCCAAAAAGCGAAGCGCAGAAGGCAAGGACGCGATCCACGAGACTAAGAAAACGTTTCACGCGGCCATAACGCCAGTGGGTTGCAACACGGCGACGATCTACGCCTCAGACAAGACACAACCAAGAGCGAGACATGCACTGCAATGCATACGGCATCCGGAGCCAGCCAGTCACCCCACATCCCCGAGGCGGGGATGGTGTGCGGCCTGTATGGCCCGCGGCTGACGAAGTAATCTGGGAACCCTCCGGCCCTCCGTGGCCCACTGGTGGCCGCAGCGGCTCGTTGCATACGACTCGGCACTTGAATACCCAGCTCGACGGACAGGAGTTCGCTCCAATGGTGGATGCAATCTTCGTGTCCTCAGAAGCGGGAATTACGACCGGGCGGGGCTTCCGCTTGAGAGCGTCTTGAGGAAGTCCACCGTCTTCTCTCCCCACCTGCCGAATGTCTCCGCAGCGAGAGGCACAAAGCGGAAGCCAGCTGCTTCTGCGGTCGGGCCATACTTGTCGATCTTGTCTTTCTCCGCAAGCTGCGCCGTCTTGCCACCTGGAGGCTGTGCACCACGCCGGTTGACAGTCCGGTGAGAGGGGATGGGGGAGTCGTCAGGGCGGCAGGGGTGGGCGATGGTGACATCGAGCAGGTAGTCATGGCCGTCGATCACACAGTAGATGTCCATGCGCTGGCTGTTGGGGTTGTCGTCGGGCGGGCTGACGCCGAGGCTGTGCACAGGCACCTCCACATTGGAGGGAACATCTGCCTCAGCCACGATGCAGACGAAAAGGTTGCGCATGTTACGTGACCGCACACGGCGTGCGACGGGCAAAGTAGTGATCGCCAAACTTGTCCACCTCCCCGCCGCAGATGCATCGCTGCGAGACGGTTGCGTGCGGGAGGCTGACGCCGAGACACTCGGCGACGGCATGGCGATACTGGAAGTTGTTCAGTGCCTTGATGTCGACAGAAGGGATCGCACGCGTGCAACCCCACCACCAGGAGGAAACAAGTGCAAAACTGGTATTCCAGCTCCAAAACCGTTTTGGGACCGGAAAACCAGACACCCCCAACGGAAAACCAGACACGCTGTACAGAAAACCGGACCTGCTGTGCAGAAAACCAGACACTCGGTACAAAAAAACCCGGTTTTGTGATAGAAAACCAGCTGCCCGGTACAGAAAACCCGGTACAGAAAACCGGGTTTTCTGACAGAAGACCGGGTGGCCGCACAGAAACCAGCAACCCGGTACAGAAAACCGGGTGCCCGTACAGAAAGCCCGCAGCGCTGTACAGAAAACTGCGTTTTGGAGCCAGAAAACCGGGTTTTGGAGACAGAAAACTGCCCGAGTGCTCCCTGATGACCGCCGGATGCAGGCCGATGCCCGCCGACTGCTCTTTGGTGCATGCTAGTGTTTTCTGACCGATCGGCCGACTCATGCCGTCTCAATCAATGCGATACGTGGATGATCAACTGACAGGCAATGTCTGTCGTCTGGCGGCCGTCGGCACCACACCGACGAACACGCAATGCACCCCTGCAGCCGACAATCACATCCTCACACCCACACCCACCCACCTACATACTTAAACTGCGATACATGGATGTTCAACGGCCGACAGGCAATGTCTGCTGCCTGGTGGCCGTCGGCAACACACCGACGAACATGCAATTCACCTCTGCAGCCGACAATCACATCCTCACACCCACACCAACCCACCCACCCACTCAGGCCTCAGCGCTCGAGATCCATCATCATATCACGGTACTCGTCCAGCCCCGCGGTGTCTTCTGGCGGCTCGCGGTCGATGAAGGGCCAGAGGACGACCGACAGCATCTCCTCCGCCAGACCTGCCATCTCGATGACGCCCCGTCGAGCAGGCAGGGGCGAATCACCGTCAGCAGGAGGGGACAGCCCGTACAGGAAGTCCCTCTTTGCCGCCGCCAGCTCGCCGAACCTCCGCAGCTGGATGTATCGGACCACTTGGACCACGTTGTCATCTGCACACCGCCCGAAGCAACACACACACCTGCGCCTCATCGGCCGATCCCAACTCCCCTTTGACCCACTGACCGAGCCGAATCTGCTCATCGGCCTGCCTGTCGTCCACAAACGCCGTCTGGAACACTGCGTACAACATCGCCACAGCCCTGACCAAACACACACATGCACACCTGGCCTGCTGTTTGCGAGGAGCGTCTGGTGCTGAATGTGTTTACTGCACCTCTCGAATGTCAGTGCGATGCCATGATCGCCTCCACACATCACGTAGAAGGGCTCGTCCTCTCCCCCCATCGTCATATCTGCAGATGCAGGTTGGACAGCAAGCACAACATCTGACAAGGACTTGTCTGCATCTCCCCTGCACTCGGCTTCCCCTCCCCGATGCACAGACGATCATCTGACGCAGGTGAGGATTTCTTGGAGGCATGGATCGACCGGCGGGGGGCCTCTGCAGCAGCGGCACCGGCAGCGGCAGCAGCAGCAGCGGTAGGTCCCTCGATCTTGTAGCACGCACCCTTCCGGTGGTGGTGGTTTCGTTTACGGGGACCTTGCCCCCCCCCCCCCCCCCCC